AATAATCTCAAAAATTAGAATTATGGGGGCGCCTGGGGCGTCGTTAAGCATCTGCCTTCGGCTCAAGTCGTGGTCCCAGGGTCCTGGGATCGAGCCCCGCGTCGGGCTCCCTGCTCCGCGGGAAGCCTGCTTCTCCCTCTCCCACTCCCCCTGCTTGTGTTCCCTCTCTCGCTGTGTCTCTATCAAATAAATAAATAAAATCCCTTTTAAAAAATTAGAATTATGAAGGAAGGTTTTTAAGCAAAAAAATTTTTTTTCTTGTATTTATACTGTGGTTTTTCAAACTTCTTCAAAAACAATGTGTTCTCCCTCTCCGTCTGCAGCTCCCCCTGCTCGTGCTCTTGCTCTCGCTCTCTCTCAAACGGATGAATAAAATCTTAAAAAAAAAAAAAAAAAAAAAAGCAACCAACAGTGAGCGGGCAGAACCGTGTTGAGACCGGCATCGATCTGGCGTCCTCGACAGACACAAGGCGGAGAGCCAAGCGGCCAGCCCCGGAGCCTTGCCCGGCTCCCCAGGTCTGCTCTTGGGGGAGGCGGTGCACAGGGGGAGAAAGGGTGCCCCACACACGGGAGGGACCATGAAACAGATCGCTCACGCAGGCCGAGACTGGGGCATTGTCTTGCTTTGAAAACCCCCACATTTTATTTTGCTAAAGCTTGCAATTTCTTCTGGGTGAATGGCACTTAAAATCTGTGTGTAATGGAACTGGATTGTATCCAGCTGTCACTAACGCCTCCCGTGCCGCCCAAAAGAGAGCTGGCCACAGGCCACGCGATTCAAGCTCCCACTTCAAATGGGGGGCTGCTGCTCCTGTTCCCACCAGACTCTGCCCGAATGATTTCACTTGTGACACAAAGGGGACTTGGACTGGGGCTTGGGCTCAGGGAAGGGCCACGTGGCCAAGAAGTGGGGCATGCAGCATGTCAAGCCAGTGACGGCCATGGAGGATGGGCTGCCCGCTTGCCCAGTGGAGGCCACAGTCATCAAGGGCACTTCCTCAAGTGACTTTTCCAGGGCACTCACCTGACAAGGATTTCCTGGGCCCTGCTGGAGACAGTGACCGCCACTTCCCGCCGACCGGAAGCACCTAACGGCAGCCACGTGAGACAGGACACAGAGGCACACATGTGAAAGGGGAGGAAAAAGTGCATTCAACCCAGATCACTTCTAAGACCGTAAGAGCAAAAGAGCACATTTTAGCCATCCCAGCTGTTAGCAGGGGCAGATGAAGGTGGATGCATTCCACATTTAACAACACAGCTGGGAAAAAGTCACCCATTTAAATTATTCCCTATACACCTGAATTCCCTATACACCTGTCAGTTAAAATCTGGCCCCGCAACGGCCAGGGGCCACCTACATACCTGGGACCTGCCTGAGGGACAGCACTTCTGTGACAGTGAGCCACGAGTGAGTCTGACCCAGACTGACTCCTCTTTGAGTCTTTAAAGCAGGAACCACACACAGCAGCTGATCCTCGAGGAAAGCCAGGAGGAGACTGCATTCAGAGTAAGCACGCCCGACCTGGGGCCCCAAGCAGAGGTCCATTTCCTGGGCTCCCGAATGCTTTCTGCTGCCCAGAGGCCCTTCGGGCAGGTGCGGTCTACAGGACTACATATGGGAGCCTGTTAACTGACAGGGGTGGGAAACCTTTGTGGGGAGTGATTGCCTAGAGTTTCCGGTCCTGAAAGATTGTCCTGCGCCCAGGAGAGCAGAGCAGGAAGCAGGTCCGCTGGAGGTCGAGCTGGTCTTTGATTATGGGGGGCCAGGACAAAGTGGTGACGACTCAAACAGAAAGCCAGGCGGCGGTGGGGTCAGGAGGTTGGGGAGAGGAGACTCTTGTTGCTGGCGTGGGGGTGGGGGGTGATGGGAGGGAGGTGGCCAGGGTGGTGGCCACGTTTCTGGCTTTGGCAACGGGGTAGGCAGTGGGCCCCCAGCCATGGCGGGACACACTAAGAGGACTCAAATAAATGGTGAGCCAAGAACTTGCCAGTAGGATACCCAGGCAAAGCAGTTCAGCAGATTACAGTGCTCAGGCAGTGAGATGTATTGATCGGAGTTGACGGATATTGGTGGAGTTGACCACGAGAAAGGAGCAGAGAGCAAGCTCGGGCTTGGCTGAGGGAGACAGTGGCTGGGGGCGGGGGGCACAGAGACAAGGGGCTTTTATAGGATGGCAGACATGTGCACATTGTCATGAGAGAAGGCGGCAGACAGATCCCCAGAGGGGTAGGAGAAGCTGGCCTCAAGAGCGCGGGTGGGGTGCCAGCCCTGCCGAGGGGGTTCTGCAGTCTGCGGCAGTCCCCATGAGGTTGAGGGTAAGTCTTCCGTCTACACCTCTGCCTGCCTTCCTAGACTCTCACTCCTGCTGACCGCTCCATACGAAAACCATTAGATCAGAACCAGCCGCCCCGGGGAACATGAGAGATGCACTCTCAGGCCCCAGCCCCCTGCTGAATCAGACTGGGCGGGGATGGGGCCCAGAGACATGGGTGTTGGAACGACCCCCAGGACATTATGATGCTCACGGGACCAGAATAGCACTTCCCCACACGGGCTGCCCAGAATCACGTGGAAAGGTTTTAAATGCCGATGCCCGAGCCTCTCCCCCAGATTCCAATTTCATTCATATTAGCCCTAAATAACTCGTCCAGCTGATTCTGCTGCTCCACGAGTGCTGGAAGCATCAGGTTAGGGGGAGAAAGGAGCAGATGGGGATGGAGAGAAGGTGGTTCCTCGCGCTTTGTTTTATTTTGGAGTGGGAGGGGATTCCTGTAGTGGGATTAGAAACCATTTGCCAAGAGTGAGTGCACTCAGGAAGGAGGAGAGCCAGCGTGTTTGGAATGACCACTGAAGCGACTGGGAGAGGCACCAACCCCAAGGGCAAGCAGAGCGAACGAAGACGGGAAGCTAGCTGGTCCAGACACAGGTCAGGGAGGAGCAGGACGCACGACCCGCAGGGTCTTCAAGGACAGTGCAGCAGGGCCCCCGGGCACGAGGGTGGTTGAAGGGGGGCGCTGGGGTAAAACCACACTGCTGAGCAGCTGCCAAGGGCCGCCCAGAGCTCGTCCAGCCATGCCCCGTCTATACCGAGGCTGTGCGAGCTACCAAGACTCAAGGCAGGGATTAGTGCTCTGGCCCTTCTCTGGGCTGGAGGGCACGCTGGCTGCCACAACGATCCCAGCTGGTTCCCGGGGCCGGGGGGCAAACACCGGGACTTTTCTGAATCCCCAGACTCCAAGTTTACGGCTCTCCTACAACTCACACCTGTGATTCTCTCTCCGTTCCCGCTCCAGTAACATGCGCGTTCCCCAGGCCTGGCTGCATGGCCGGGGGTCGGGGGTGAGGGTCTGTCACCCACCTGCCCACCCAAGCCAGGAGCTGTCCTACCCCACTCTGGACCTTCCACTTGTTACCTCTCCTCTTGATTCCGTCTCCGAATACCCAGGTGACGCCACCTCCCAACGGCTCTGCCGACGCCAGCTCCGGGCCGGACCAGTGGTTTGCCGGTTTGTGGGCCGGTCACATCCTCACCAGTCTTCTCCCTCCTCCTCGGCCTCCTGGGCCTTCACGCACTGCCATCAGCCTCCAGAGTCTAAAGCCAAATCAGACCTCGTCAACCGTTGCTAGAAATCATGCAGGAGCCCGCAGGGACTCTCGACGTACAGAGGCCGGCAAACTGCGGTTCACGCTGAAATTATCAACCAGAACATGCCCTGTGCTTTGCCTTTGCCTGGCTGGTGCCACTGGAGGCAGGGCTCACCACACCCTCATCGTGGTCCCCACCCGGAGCATCCAGTCCCGGCCTGGAGACCACAGGCTGCCTGAGAAACGTAGCCTTGTTCTTCCTTACTTGTACCCAGCACCACAACTGAGTGGAAAAGTCTGGAAAAGTAACCGGAAGGCCGTGGTCCTGCCTGCATGACCACTGTGCCTCGGGGCTGAAGGGGGTCCCCAACCTACCGCTGCCCAGCCCGATTCGGACACTGTGGACACGAGCTTGGCCTGCCACCCCAAACTCTCCCACCCCACCGGGCACCCTATTTGTTTGGGTCCAGGTGTGGCCTCTCCTCACCTGTTCCTACTTTGCTCTGGCCAAGCGCCCACGGTGACGGGGCAGAGTCCCCAGGTTTGAGGGGCACGACTGGGTGGGAGCTCAGAGACACTGAAGGGAAGAGGGAAGGCGCAGTGGGACTCAGGGGGCGGGCCTGCCTAGTGGTGTCTGTGGAGTATTTGGAACAGAAGCCACCCACTGGAAAGCTGCCACTGCCCAGGGCTGCTTTCCCTTCCATCTCCCACTTAAGGGTGCTGCTCTGGCCGAACGGAACCTCCCCGTCACAGGCATCCCTGCAGGGACCTGCTGCCCCTGCTGGCCTCACCCAACTTGGAGGACGTGTTATCAGCCATACCCTGACCCTCCCGCTCACAGATGGCCCGGCCTGACCAGACCGGAACGTTCCCCCGGAGCTCGAATTAAGTTCCCGTGTGGGCCCCACGTCGTGGTCGTGCTCACCACGCGCTCCAGCGTGCGGCCACACCCGCTCCCGGCGGTGCGCCTCCGAGCTGGGCGGGTCTCAAACTGGAGGCCTGTGTTGTTCTTGCCCACTATGAGGAAAACTCACAGTTTAGTAACACCTATCATTTCCCTCTCACTTCCCCTGTAGAAATCCCAATGTTATTCAGTAAAAAAACTCAAACAGCAAACCTCAGTGGAACACGGTTTCCAAGTTTCCTCAACACAGTACTCATTGCGAATCACCCACCAAGCTCAGTGGGCCACTTCAAAGGGTTCCTCTGTCTTCTTAAATTCAAATGAATGTATTTATTAACACATTTAAATAAATCTCTTTATTTCTCTTTATCCTTAAGGAAGACTTGCTCCAGACCTTCCCACATACTGACAAGTTACCCGGAAGTGCACCACAGGGAACCCTTCATCTGAACTGGGCGCTGGGATGCTAACTCCTAAAAATCAAAGGGAAAAACACAAAGACACAGGCAGGGCTCACAAAAACCTGTTTTATTGCACCAGGATCTTGGCAACATCGGGGGCGCCTCAGCCCGTGGAGCGGAGGCACAGCGCACAGGGACATGGTTGGACTATAGGCCCACCAGGAAAAGGCAGGTGAAGGAGGCCACACGGGGCCACCGGGAGAGGCGACCCCCCCCGATACAAAGTTAAATTAAACCCACGTTCTAAGTCAACCAAGTGACTGCTCTTATAAAAGCTTTTGTTATTTATATATTTTTATATATTTACATGTCCCCTAGAGTTTGGACTGATTTTCTGGGCCCATCCTTTCCCTTCCCAGTTTGGCCGATGGCCAGGTGTGGGAGGGAAGGGCTCGCCCCTATGGAACAGTGACAAATGCTGCCGACAGTCAGGCCAGGGCTCAGCACCGCCCAAGACACGGTGGGCATGTTTTCCTCAGGAAAAGTTTCATAATTACGTAAGTGGAAAAGGGAAGAGCCTGGTTTGAAGAGGGAGCAAGAAAAGAGATCAACTCTGTGCTGCAGACAACTTCCCTTTTCAACCGCAGAACATTACAGAAAAATAGGGCCATACAGGAATGAGGGTCAACACCAGAAGAGGAAAAAAAAATGCCCTGCCCACAAAGGCACCTGCCTTCCCTCCCGAGGTGGCAGATGACAAAGCCACAGGGCACTAGGGGTTGCTGGGGGGGGGGGCGGCGGGAGGGGGGACACGACCCTCGTCTTCGAACAAGGTGTGGTTAACAGAGAAATCCGTCCTCTGAGAAAAGAGCAAAAGGCTCCCAGACTGGTCTATGCAGCCAGTGCCCTGCTCACGTCCTGCTGGGACCACAGGCAGCCCCAGTTCGCGCCATGGGCATCATTATTCTCCCCACCTTTTTCAAAGAGAAAATGTAAGAACAGGAAGAAAAATCAAAAAGAACTACCTATGTGAAAAAATTAACATATCTCCCCACCCCCGCCCTGGAAATGGAACACTTTTTTCCGATCCCCCCGGGGCCCCAGAGCAAGCGGCAAGGGAGTGCCTGACCAGGCCATCGGTGGGCCTCAGGCCACGGAGAACCGCCGTGGAGGCCGGACGTCCACATCAGACGTCAGTCCGTCTCCGCGTGTGGCGTTCTGGAGAAGAGGAAGCGGAGACGTACATCCGTGGAGTCATTTTTGGATTGACCTCTATACCTTCTGCTACTGAGTCATGTGTCTTTTTTCTGGAAGGTGTCACCTTAACTGAGGGTTTCCTGTATTTATTAAATTACAAGTTCGCAGGCACAGCTTGAGCAAGATTAAAAAAGTGATCTTCTTGAGTCATACAATCATCTAAATTCAAAAGCACTCACAAAATTGAGCAAATAAAGCCAGTATTGCATATCAGGAAAAAGAAATATATTGCTAATGGAAGCCACAGACCTGGTCAAAATGAATGTCTCTATTAAGTAGTAAAATAAAAGGATTCTACCCCAAGACCACCACCTCGACAGACCCGTGGGTCGCTGCAGCTGCAGGGGAAGGAATGGCAAAGCCACCTCAGAATCAACAGCAGCTGGAAAGGCAGATGTGTCAGCACACCGTTTCTCGCCCCCCCCCCGCCGGCCCCAAAAGAGCCTTCTCTCTCCAGAGATGGTTTAGAGTCTCTTGTAAGGGAGGGACGCACTGGCAGCGCCGCCCCCCAATTCCAGAAAAGGGAGAGGTGCGGTGTGGGGCGGCCCTGGGCTTCCTTTCTCAGGGGGGCACGTAAGGCATAGAGTCCCTGCCCCACGGAAATGGGGAAGGCAGGACCAGACAGCAGTGCCGGCCGCCAGCAGCGGGGGACAGACGGCTCCCGAGAGGAGCCCAGCGCACACGCTCACCCTGGGGGCACTCGCTCGCTCGAGGATGTGCCGGGAGGGTTGCGGCCGCCATCTTCCCCTGCTCTCGGCCACGGACCACACGCACTGATGTCCAGGTTCCCGGCCAGTGTGCTGCCACCCGCTCTCCACGTCACTGTGGGGTTTGTCACGGCGCAGGCAGTGACGCCAGAGGTCCCGATGCGACGAAGCCCAGACCTGTGGGCATTCCTCCTGTAGCCGGTGTGGGCCTGGCAGCAACGGGGCAGCGGGGTCCTCGACAAGGCCGCTCTTCAGTTCCGACGGACAGGGCCCAGGAAGGGACACCTTGTCTCCCGAGGCTGTGGGGCACACAACATTGCTCCTGAGGAGATGGAGACCCTGGGAGTCCCACCAACACCCCAGGAGTGTGCGTCCACATGGGACGACACGCACCATTAGATGGCGCTCTGAAAACACCCAGTCCTGCCCTACACACACGCACACCACACCTGCACGCACCAGACACACACGCACACCACACACACCTGCACGCACTAGACACACACGCACCCCACACACACGTGCACGCACCAGACACATGCACACCACACGCACGTGCACCTCACTGCACGCACACCACATGCGCATGTGCACCTCGCCGCACGCACACCACACGCACGTGCACCTCACCGCACGCACACACTAACGTGCACCTCACTGCACGCACACCACACGCACGTGCACCTCACCGCACGCACACCACACG